ATAATAATATCAGAATCGCAGTTCGGAAAATAGGAGGCTTAATATGCTCCGGGGCTTGCCTTTCACAAAGTTGCAAGGATGGTGGTCGGGCACTCAACGGCGACCTCGTCGCACTTCTCCCGAAGGTCGCTCCTCCTGAATCTCCGGTGTCGGCTGCTGCTGCTCGTTCAGTTCCTCGAATTCCAGCAGGGTTACTCCTTTCGGTACACCTATTGCATGCCGATGCACAAGATAAATATCATGGATGCATAACGAATGACATGATGCTCATGATGAATGAATCACAATGGGTGTTTACGAAAACATCACTGGACACTCGTTTACCGAGTAATTTGCTCTATTCAAAACACTTTAAGCATGTATCCAACTTAACTTAAATAACAAGAGCAACTTACCTAACTTGCATAACCTAAGATAAAGATGCTCATCTTCAGTTAAAGGCCTAACACCTAGGAACAGTACCATGAACTTAGAATAGTAAAGACATACTCTAAATAACAGTTAAAGCTTCATATGCAACAAGTAGTTACTTAATTCTATCATAACTAGAGTTCTATAACTCCAAATGACTTGCAAGAGGACATTCTAGAAAGCTTATGAAATTCTCTACAATTCATTTGTAAACATCAAAGCATGATTCTAAAGTTAACCAATTCAAATTCCTGTAGACCTAGAATCTGTCCCGCAATGACAGGGTTGCTAACTTAATTATTTAATGATGGCGCAAAAGCCTAATTTGACCAAACCAAGTTTACCAACTTGTTTTTCATACCTAAGAAACATCAGAAAGTTTAGTGCTAACTTCTAAATAAATTATTTAATATCCTTTTCCAATTTATTTAGTTAATTAGGTGATTTAAGCAATATATAGTAAAACTATTCATAAAAATCTACAAAAATTACAGTAGCTATCTCATGCTGCACATAGACTACTATAAAAATTTCAAAGCCATTGGACCAACATAAATTGCTGTATCCAAATTAACAGATGACATGTCTATTTCTAGCATAATTAGGAAACCTTATTAAAAAGTGTCAAGCAACAGATTTCCCATTTTTCCTAGCATCCTTCTAACATAAGAATAGCACCCATAAAATTTCACCTTCACTGGATCTATAGAAAAATTATGAAAATTCACACAAGATCCACCTATTAATAAAAGGAAATTCTATAACTTAAAAACTACACATGCAATAGTTCAAAAATTTTGACCAGAGCTTCTAATAAGCAATAGCAGACTGCCCACAAAATTTCATAATTTTTGGACCACAGAAACTCAAGATAAAATTCAAACAAGTTTGCATGTATCCAAAAACACATTTCAAAGTCCTAATTAATTCATCAAAAATTTCTAAAACATGTGCTCATATAATATTTTTGTTAAATACTAGACATGACCAGGAACTTAACAAAATTAGAACCACATCATTTGGATCTATATACTAGGAGCTACATATTTTTGAATAACAACACAATTCGGTGAAATAATAAATCAAACAAATAAGAATCAAAACGCATCCACAATTTGTTGGACCGGCCCGACGGAACAATGACCCATGAAAGCACACCGGCGCTGGCCCAAGACTACGCCCGCATGCCAACAACCCAACACACGGCTCGGCTCAAGACGACGCTGCCCACGCTGGCTCCTCCGCCTCAAAGCCGACAACGAGGGGAGGACCAGCAGCGTCGAGGGAGAAGCAGGGGAGGAGCGACGACCGGTGGCGTGCTTCGCCGCCGTGGCTTCTTCAGCGAAGGTAAGGGTTTCTACGTGCTCGCCTCATCCTAGCGGACCTAGGGAAACCTCATTCGTAGCTATTGACGCGATAAGGAGGGGTGGCGATGGCCACGGCGGCGCTTCGGCCATGGCACGGCCGGCTCCCGGCGGCTACGACGTCCACGGCCCTAGTGACTCACTCACTGAGCTTCAAATCGTCACATACCGAAGCTAAGCGCAAGAAAGAGAAGGCGATAAATGGCTTGAGCGGCACGGCCACGCCAGCGCGAGCTCGGCCGGCGGCGGTCATGGCGACCGGTGGAGCCGCCACTCGGTGATGATCTCTACAGCGCGCAAACGCGGTGATGGTGTGGTCGCGACGCGAAGAAGCTCATCGGGGCTATGGCTTGGATGAATCGGGCGGTGGAGCTTGGTTACGGTGGATTTTTGGCTCGGCGGCTTTTGGTGATCCAAAGCAGAGCTACGGTGAGCAGAGGAGGCGAAGGAAGGAGAAATGGAGCGGCGACTCGGTGAGCGGCGCGCGGGGGTGGCTTCAAAGCGCTGCTGCGCGCCGGAGTGCGCATGACGCGTGTAGGCGCCTTTCAGCGAAAGCGGCGACCGTGGCGGACACGCTGGCTTCATTTTTCGAAACTTGATCA